CAACAAAATAACAGTCGATGCTCCATCATAAGTGTTGTTTTTTTCCATCGGCGTTTTACGATGGCTACACCGTTGGAGCCACCAAGCCAACGATGTAAGGAGATGGTTTTTAGCTTTAGCAGTGTTGACTGTTTTATGGTATCCAGATTTCAAGTAGAGATTAGATTGAAGTTGAATAGATTAAGAAGTTTTTAATTAAACCTACCAAGCAAGTGGAGGTCGCATTGACCTATGAAAATTTAGAATTTACTACGTTTATGTCTGAACGTTTATTAAAAGTTTTCTACCCGTTGTTTTATCCATCAACTCACCGGCACAACAACAAGCCAACCGAAATTCTCTGATGACCAACAGCCAGACAACGTTGCCAACAGAACGGTGAATGGGTGAATAAAACAACATGCGTAATGCTGGGACAAAAAAACCAACGAATGGATTAGAAACACTACGAAAGTCAGAGATGTGATCGAAGCCATTGCCACTCAAAAATGGAACTATTCCGGACACATAGCCAGATGTACAGACGCGAGATGGAATAACAGACTATTGCACTGGAGACCATACCTAGAACGACAAAATAGAGGACGACCACCAATGCGCTGGACAAACGACATAAAATTAATTAACAGCAGGGTTCAATTGGATAGGAGAAGCGCAAGACAGAAGAAGATGGTGCCATATGAGGAACGCCTATGTTCAGAAATGGACTGTGTAGAGAGGCGATTGAGATTGAGTATAGATAAAAGGAAAATATCGCAAGCATGTTGAAGTTGCAAAAAATAGGTAGGTACTATAATAATAGACTTACTTCTATGTGCTAAGAATAGGCAAAGGTAAACCTGTTCAATTATCAGAGACTTACGAAATGACTCAATTAATAAATTTAATATTAAACTAACCCAAACTAACCCAATAATGATGTTGGCATTGATCCTGATTTATTGAATAATTTTTATTGTGGTTTGGCAAGAAACTTTAATCAAAGTGTGCCTATTGGTGAACCACCCTCTCTCTTATTCAGGTAATATTTCAGTGCCAAATTCATTTTGTTTCTCTCCGGTTTTGCCACATGATGTTACTGATGCACTTCATCATATCAGGAACAACAGGAAGGCTAAGGGTAGTACAGAAATTTCAGTGGAAGTTCTTTTGAAGCTACTTGGTGTCGCTCTTGAGGCTCTTTTGGCTGCTCTCTATGATTCCTGGTCTAGGGGAGTATTTCCTTCATGCTTGAAGTCTGCGATTGTGATCCTCATTTACACAGGAGGTGATATTCACGAACCCTCCAATTATCTCATTGTTGTCCACTCTTTCTAAGGTCATTGAAAAGATTGTGAAGGGGAGAATTTGGAACTACCTGACACACTTTTGATTGTGTTGATCACGGAATACTACTGTCAAAGCTTGAACAATATGAAATCAGGGGCTCTGCTCTTGCTTGGTTCGGCTCATTTGAGTTGCCAAACTGTCTGTGGTCTCAGGTGCAGAGCATCGACTATGGGGTTCCACAGGGAATTGTACTAGGGCCACTTCTTTTTTGGGTCTATGTAAACGAACTTGTCTATGTGGAGATTTCTGGTAAGTTTACACTTTTTGCCGACAATACCTCCATCATTTGGCGTAATAAATCGTCAAGTTGCCTATGAAATATATATCCGCATACTTGATTAAAATTGAAGACTGGTGCAATTCTAACAGACTAACATTGAATATTGGGAAAACTCGTGTTCTGGGCTTTAAGTGTAATGTGAGGGGGCTGAAGATGGGAATTGGCTCGCTTCAGGAATGGGATTCCTGCAAGTTTTTGGGATTGGTCATTGATGGGGACTTGCGTTTCGAAAATCATATACTGGCTTAAGTAAAAAACTTTCTTCTGCTTGTTTTGCAATCAGGATTGCTAGCATGGAGCTGGGTCCTGGGGTGGCCTGGACTGTTTATTTTGCACTTTTGTAGTCCCACTTGAGTTATGGGATTCCATTTTGGGGGCTTAGTAGCCAATACCTGCTCAACCTTATATTTATTCTTCGAAAAAAGGCTATTCGATCTATTGAGAAGATCGATCAAAGAGAAACGTGTAGACCTTACTTTCGTCCCCTCAAAATATCAACAGTTACCTCATTATTTATTTTTGAGACGTGCAGTATATAAGAACCGGACAAATATCAGGATCCCTTCCTTCTCAGCGTGAAAAGCGGCGAGCTCTTGACTTGCCAATACCCACAAAAGCCTTAACAAAAAAAATCTTCAATTTACGAGACTGTAAATAGTATATTGTTGTATTAGGAGTAGAAGCTTTACTTTTTTGTGCTGAAGCAGTAGGTTTGCGAGCCGAACGTAGTGAGGCTTGCAATACTGCTGAAGCACAAAAAAGTGCTTCTACTCCGTATGCAACACGCTATTTTTTCTCCAAACAAATGGGGTAAGCTCGGGGGTAACTGAATGGGTAACTGAATGGTTAAAAGTACGAGCGGCACTAAAAGTACTTTTGCTACCGCCCCAGCGGCACTAAAAGTACTTTTGCTGCCGCTGGGGTTGCCAAGCAGCATATAGAAATTAAATTTCTACCACCTCGACAGGTGTTAACCTGCTGGATTTGCCTACCAGCATAGAAATTAAATTTCTGACATCTTGACAGAGGTTAACAAAGTGGCGTTTTTTTGACGTTTGGAGAAAAAATATTTTATTTCCTACTGAACTATTATAACCATATAATACCTTGGTTACGATAATCATAAACAGGGCCTTAACTCCCAAGGGAGTTAAGGATTTCTTAACTCCCGCGCGGGAGTTAAGGATATCATAACTCCCAAGGGAGAAATTGAATTATGATTTTTTTTCTCACCTTAATGCAATAAAATCATATAAGATTTCTATGAAATAACCTTTGGGCAAAGAATGGGAGCATCTGAAAAATACTTCAAGCAATCAGAAGAACTTCAAACTTTCAGGCTTTATAGTGTAGGGTATTTTTATCGCACGAAACAAACCACGAGAAAATTGCAGGATCAGAAATGGAATTATGAATTTTTTCTCACTTAAATGCAAAAAAATCGATAATTAGGTAATAATTTGTGTTCAATACTTTTATTAACTAACTAGCTGACCCGGCAGAGCTGGGCAGGGCTTGAGTGCTTTGTGCTTGCGAAAGTGCTTGAAGCACTTTGAGGGCTTGAAAGCCCTGTGCTTCAAGCCCTTTTATAGATTTGTAATTGGGGCTTGCAAAGTCAATTACTTTAGAAAAGTGCTTGGTAATTTGTAATTGAAAAAAGTAATTCAAGCCCTTTCAATGAGCTTCAATTACTTTTAGAGGGCTTGAAGCACTTTTGGGAGCTTGAAGCCCTTTGAAAGGGCTTGAAGCCCTTTAAGAGGGCTTGAAGCACTTTTGGGAGCTTGAAGCACTTTGAAAGGGCTTGAAGCACTTTAAAAGGGCTTGAAGCACTTTAAAAGGGCTTGAAGCACTTTGAAAGGAATTTGAATTGACCATCATTCAACCTCCCACTTAAAAATTTTCGATCGTGTTTTGTCCCTTAATTTTTTTTTCTTTTATTTGAACTTGAACCGTCTTATGTATTTTCTCTCTTAACAATGGAGGTTTTGGGTTCGAGCTTAGAATGGAATTTAAAAAAAAATGAATGAACTTATTATTAAAATAAATAATTAATTTATATTGGTACCCTATTTAACTTTATCACTGGATTTTTTCCACTTTTCCACATTGAACATTTTGAAAACCTTAAAATTGAAGTACCATGTAGTACCCCAAGTACCTACCCCAGAACTACATCTCAAAAAAAAACATACTACTGCTACTCTGTGAAATGTAAAGTTCGTCTCTACTATACCAATTCTGTGTGATGAGTTTACGCGGTAGCTTATGCCACTTTGAGAATTTTATTACAAATTTAAAGTGCTTTAGGCACATTTAAAGAGCTTCAAGTACATTTAAAGAGCTTGAAGCACATTTAAAGAGCTTGAAGCCCTTTTCAAGGCACCTCAAGCACTTTTGATGTGCTTCAAGCACTTTTCAAATCACTTTGAGGGCTTTGTGCTTGTCAAGCCCAAAGCACTTTGAGGGCTTTGTGCTTGTGAAGCACTTTTAAAAATAAAAAGGAATTTGTGCTTGAAATTGAAGCACTTTGATAGAGGGCTTAGGGCTTAGTGCTTCAAGCCCTTTTACTGAGGGCTTTGCCCAGCTCTGTGACCCGGCGAACTTCGTACCGCCTCTGAATTATTAAATACCTATTAAATGCTTGTTAACGTATCTATTAGCTGAAATAAATTCAGTTTTTTTCGATGGTGAATTTGGCTTTGGTTGAAGAAAATGAATCTTTACTAGAGAGTAAAGATTCATTTCTCTTCTAATCCAGAGGGATTAGAAGTCACCTAAAATTAAAATTTTACATCATCAATCATCATCATCAAAATGAAATGACCTCATTAATGACATAACAACATGCTGGTACTGTCAACGCTGAAAAAAGTTTCTATTTGACAGCAAAATCCCCATTAACAAAATGATCCTCCATTTATTGAATAATTCATTTATTACAAAAAATGTGATAAATGAAGAACCGCTCGACCGATTTTGTGCAAACTTCACATAAACCATCTAATAAATAGTCCGAACAAAGCCTAAATATTATTTGGTTTGGATGGGTGAGTCCGTTCTTGAGTTATAAAATTACAACGAAAAGTGGCATTAATTTTTATATAGGTATATAGATTAAAATATTGAAAACAAAGTGCAATTTATACGATGCAATTTCAAGATAGGTAATTAAAAAAATTGGCTGTTTGACGATGACAAAATATACAGGATGTTTCATTAAAAATTAAAGAGAATATTCCCAGAATTTGTTTCCAATGTCTTTTAAAATCTAAAACGTGTAACTTTGGATTTCTAAAAAAAGTTTCAAATAAATACTTAGCTATTTATGTATGTCCAAGATAAGAAATTTTTAACTTCAAAACTAATATTTTCCAGGTCTTTCTTTACTTACCAATAAAACCTAACTGGCAAAAATCCAAGACAAACCATGGTTCCTTCTTCGAAGTCTTTTCAATGGCAAAGTTTCTCATTTCAGTCACGTATTGATGTCGTGCCAGTATATCGTCTTCCAGTTGCACGTAAAATGTCCCTAAAAGATTAATGCATACATGAACCTTGGCAACAACGCTTTATCGTAAAACATTATGTTGCCATGACCACAATATTAAATTTATTAACTAGTCGAGCGTTGGCAGATCTATTTATTTTTACTTATATGTACCTTTAGATTGCGAATATGACATTAAAAATGCAAAGTCCAAATTTTGCTTGGTCCGCCACTTGACTCGTTCCGGTGAATCTCCTAAGGTGATTTTCAATTTTTCGAAATCGGGATAATAGGCTGCCGAAGGCGCTAAAACTTCTAGTAGGCCTGATTCTATGTAGGATGGAAACCTATTAAAAAAAAATTTAAAATATTTTTGTTGGTTTAAACAAGCACAAATATAGATTAGAATGACAATGACGTCATTTAGCATATACATTTTATGACGTCATTGTCCTCTTGATGTCTGAATCTTGCTGTACCTTAGTTCAATTTCTTTGGCAACTTGCAGCACGTATTCTAAATCAGTCTGAAACAAATGTTAATTTATTAACTATCGGACAATAATATAATTATTACCTCTGCCACAAATACAACAATTAACGAATCATTAGCTTCTTCAATAGTCATGCCATCTATTAAGTTTTGCAAAGTATCCATTAAATAGTTTTGTTTTTCACGTTTCACTGTTGGTACGCCTAAAACCATCGATACGCCAATGCGTCCTTTGGACAATAAATAGGCCAACCTGTAAATAAAAATAATTCATTTCAACATAAAACAAATAAAATAAGATTTTCTGATGGGATAATTATAGTTGTTTAAAACCACAAATTGTTGGAAATTATCTTTTTTTGAAATGATTTACATGAAGTGTACGTAATTGAAATTTAATTTTTCAAAGAAAAATGATTGTTAGCTAATAATTACCAGAGAAAAATCTTATGTCATTATTTAAAATTCAAATATAAAAATAAATTGCAAGGCATCAACAAATAATGTTTTTTTCAATTCAAGCAGCATAAATATTAATTAAAATTTAAAATCAAATTAATGCTGAAGTACCTAATTATTTGGAGATTTAATATGAATCTTGAAATGGTTCTACATAGAAGCAGAAAACATTACAATATATTACTTCAGATATGGTATTTTCTCACACAAAAAGCATCCTCAAAGCTATAAATAGCAATTTTCATCAGCGCAGTTAAAGACAGACCGTAATAAATCCTGAGCAGCCCAACAACAGCCTAATCCATGATACCCAGAATATGATGTTTTATTGTACTATCAGTATCAACGCGTATTCGGTCTGGAAAATTATGTGGTGCTTCAAAGGAAAGATTATCTTTAAGTGAAGGAAAAAAATAGAGGATTCATGGAAACCGTAAAAACCCTGATTAATTTAGTTTAAACGTATATTTATCGAATGAAACTTAAAAATCGATGCAGGATCTGAACAATGTAGACAGCTGTAATCTTTGAAACAGTTGGTTTTCAGTAACCTACTCCAAATTAAATAAAGGCAATAAATAAATCACAGCCTATAAAAAAAAAAGAGAAAAGTAGATTTTAATTGTTTTTCGAGATGACGAGAGAAAAACGGCTATTAGATTAGATACAGACAATAATGGCAGAGATTCGGAATATGTAATAACAGTGTCACGGCTCTGGGGTGTGTAACAGAAATCTTGGGTCCGTTTATTCCAAAAATCAAAGTCCAATTAACACAACAATAATTTATTCCACGTTCCTATATACTCTGACATTAATTACTTCACTAATTAACTCGAATAACTTAACTCTTTACAACTCTTACGAAATTCACTATCTAAATCGTATCACAGTTAATCCTAAAATTTGAACTACTAACTAATACCGGCCTGCATATATTTGTAATCCATTCTTGTAAAATCCAGAATAAACACGATAATGTCTTTGCCCGAATAAGGCAGTATTTTCTAGATTTCAAGTTAGATTTTGTACACCATGGCGAAAGTGCACCGCTACAATAGTGATATTCTAAAAGCTCCTAAATTATATTCCCATGAAGTGGAAAGAAGTTAAAGTCACCTTTATCCCTAAACCTGGGAAGACTACTCTCATCCAAAATCATACAGGCCGATTAGTCCTCATGAAAACCCTCCAAGTGCTATGTGACAGTCACAGAGATGTGCACTTGCCAATGCAAGCGATACCCCCTAATCAACACGCCTACTAACCAGGAAAACTCACGCAGACTGCATTGTGTCATGCAGAGAAAAGAAGAGTCGCTATTCTACCGGCAGTTGGTCCAAGGAGCCTTCCTGGATATCGAGGGCGCTTTCGACAAAGCAACCTTTAACAGTGTAGAAACAGCTCTGATAAGACACAACGTTGATCCAATCATTATCGGCTGGATCAGATGCACGTTACAGAACAGAGCTGTTCAACTAGATACAGAAGGCGTTAACGCAAAACAGCAATGAAATTGAGGCTGAAGACATGGAATATGTAAGAGAAAGCGACGAAGAAAAGAGGACAAAATCTCTTCAGATCCATGAATCCCACAAATGGAGCAAATAAACATCACATCCTCCAGCTAAATTTCAACCGGTGCAAAGCGGCACACAATCTGATGGCAGAAAAAATACACGGGGACAATATACAGATAATCAGGGGATGTGAGCCATACGGGAATCAGAGATTGGATTTCTGGGACCTGAATATGAATGCGTTTGTGAATGTGTATGAAAGCTTCGAATTGGACTTTTTGTAACATAATATCATGCTATTTCTCACCGAATGGAGAAATTAGACTCTCAACTACTGCTGCATGAAACAACTGCGCAGAAGATCCAAAAAGGTGGTACTAATTGCAAGAGATTTTAACGCTAAAACAATAGCACTATAATGGCCTGATGGGTATTGTTATATTCTTTTAACAAAACCCTAATAATATTGGTTTAATAAAAATATTTAGAAGGGAAAGAGAGGCTAAATAGGCAGGTGTAACTAGGGGTGGATGAGTTACCTATGAGAGGGGGTGGCAGTTCAAAAAAACAGAAAGGGTACCTCCGTTTTCAGGGCGGCCGACTAGCTCTCACTGCGGAGAGGGGTGTGAGTAATTAAAATCAGAAATGAGCGCCACCTGCTTTAGTGCCCTACAGTTAAATGGAGTCCCTGATGATCGGAAAACAGGAAATCTCTGAGGCCAACTAATACTGCACCGACCTAAAACTTCCAATAGGAAATAACAAAATAATAGCCTGAAATTCAAATAACTCTCTTATTAATAAATTCAATATATAATGTACAATAGTACCGCCCTGATAAGTGGATACGTCAATATTTATATATCATTAATTTAAATAACAATAATCATTGGCCTAAATCAGGTAATAATGTAAATAAAGCCAGCAAAACTAATATCTACCTACACAAAAATACGAAAACAGTCTTAAAGTTCCCAAACCTTACCTTACATTCTGGTTCATTATGGTGATCAAAAGTTATAATTAATTTCGTAATTACATTCATTGAGTTTAAATAAGTGAAGGGTGATAATTAAGAACGGTTCACGCCCCTTAAATCAATACCAAAATACTCAAAATACCGTCGTAAATAGATCTATTTAAACCTGGTGTACAGAACCAATAATTGCGGATTGTGAGTGTAAGACGTGTGTTTACACTAATTTGGACTACTTGGAATGTTCCAGGAAATCAAAATAATATGGTAAGTAAACGTAAAATTAACTTAATTTAAACCTAAAGGATTTAGGTAATTAGGTAATTTTCAAGACAGGTAGTGGTAATTCAAAAGAGAGAGTTCACACTATAAAAACTCGATTTCAACAAGAATTGGGGTAAGTACTGCGACCAATTACGTGTTTGTGGACATAAAACTCTAACAGGGATCAGAATACAAAATAAAATGATGAATAATAGGGACTTACCAATGTGGATTGGCCTTTTCGACACTCAACACGTGATACGAATCAAACTTATTTGCCAGAATTTGGGTTTTTACGTACTGAAATCTTGTTAAATTAGCAAATACTTGCTGTGGTGTTATATAAGAATAATAACCACCGTTTGAGACTCAATTACTTCTCAAATATTCACTCAAATTAGCAAAATGCCTCAGAAGAAAGCTATAACGTGGCTTCTCTTCTTAGTATAGTGACTTGTCGCCAAAAAATAGCTTGATACTTCGGTTTTTGAGTAAAAGCAAATCCTTTTCACAAGTGAAAGAACATGTCAGAATTCTGCACTGGACGGGGGAGATCTACAATTTGATCTCACCATAGGCACCAAGAATATGGAAGGATGGAATGTAGAAACGGGAATCAAAAACCTTAGGGACCATCGCACAATTAAATACCCTATCAGGACAGGAAAAAATGTAGGAAACACAAGTAAAAAGGATGGCAAATAACCACGAAAAGAATAGAAGAGTTTAAAAAGGAGTGCCACGAAGGACCATTCAAAAGACAAATCAACAAAACTCCAGAGAGGCTGATAAAAAAATGGAGAAAATAGGTGACAAACAGTTTAGGGCAAAAAGCAGCAAAAACAGGAGCCAGCCGGTATACAGGTGGAATGAGGATATATGCGAAAAAAGAGAAAGATGCAACCAACTGAGAAGACGCCTAACAAGGGCAAGGATTGGAAGAGCGGAACAGGAGTGGACAATAAATGGGCAGAATACAAAAATGCAAAACACGAACTTAAAAGGGCAATAAGAAGCAGGAGAGAAAAATAGGTGGAGCTATGCGAAGAACTGCAGGAAAATGTTTGAAGAAAGGCATACCAGATAGTCACGAACAAAATGAAACTCAAGATAATAAATATAGGAGAGGACACCTATGAAAAGCAGAGAGGAAAACTCCTCCCGATGCACGATTCAATAATAATGACAGAAAATAACATGCTGACGGAAAAAAACACACCGGTGTTTAGCAAAGATGTATTAGCGCCAGCAATTGCGAACATTAAGGTTAAAAAGGCACCAGGACCAGACATGTTACACCTATCCTATTGTAATCTTAAGTGCCATTATGAGCGAACTAGTAATTCATAGTATTCGTAGTAATCGTTTCTAAGTAGTTATTTATTGTTGATTCTTTATATTAAAAACACTTCAACTGTTCTTGGAAATTTGCCTGTTAATTTTCAATGCTAGAGGACACCAAACTGGTTAATCCATAGTTCATTCTTGGTTCTTGGTCTGTGTGGAACAAGGTAGAAAGTCAAAAGGTTACGGGCTCATGTGAAGCTGACTGGAATGGCTGAAAAAGATTACAATTACAGTGAGGAGGAACTAATCTAGTATCAAGAAAATAAATAGGTGGTAACAGTCATGGCAAACAGTACCCAAGTACAGATAAAATCATTTGATGGTAGAGAATTTTCCGATTGGGAATTTAGAATGAAGTTGCTTCTCGAGCATCATGGAGCATCTAACGAGCAATCATCTGAGTATGTAAAGTTTAAAAAAGATGATGTCAAGGCTCGTAACTTGATAGTCAATAGTGGTGGATCAATCCAAGAATCAGAGATTATTACGCAGTTACTATCTGCAATGCAATGCCTGATACGTATCAAAATGTGAAAACAACAATAAACATTTTGTATTGTCAATAACGCAGTAAAGTGACTCTAGAATTCATTAAGAGTAGACTCTTGATGGAAGAAGCGAGACGAAATAAAAATAAGTATGAACCAAAATATCACGGTGAAGGGTCAGAGGTGTTTCTAGGATATA